CAGTTAATCTTAAACAGAACGGGTGATGCTGTTTGGGCTTCCAATGAGCCCAAATTTGACATTAACCTTGGCTCTAGGCTGATCAACAGGTTGGTAATCCAGCTGTGTAATTAAAATGTGCTGATTCCTATTTATTTACTTGTTAGTGTTTATCTTTCTCAATCTGAAAAGTTGCAAAGATTTGATCAACTCTTAAATCCTCATGCAAGTAACAGTATGCTTATTCATTTTTGACTTGGCCTAATACACAAACGATCTAGCTGAATTATATCAAAAGACAAGAGTGACTGAAACAAAATGGATGTATACACACTAGTTTTTGTACTACTGAGCATGCTGTCCAAGCCTAAATCAACATTTCGAATGTTCAGTTACTAACCACAAATGAAGACCTGAGATCAGTTGCTATACCTATGCTATTGCTTAACATTGAAAGCCAAACTAATCACCAAATAAAACTATACTAGGTTATTGAATAAACAACAGTCCTGTACAGATTCATAGCCTCGTAACAATCCAAATTAATTTCCAAACAGTCCTGATTATACAGTCCAGTGATTATATCAACATAAATCAAAATTAAAGTTAAACAAGTACAAACAACTACTATCTATTCAACCATGGCAGCTCGAACAGACACATTTCAGGAGCATTTTATTTCATTTTTTTTTTTACTTCAAAGCTACATCAAATCAGGTTCAAATGTGTACCTGGAAGTGTAAAGTAATAAGAGAAAAGAAGGAGGTCATCAGCAGTTCAACAAATCACAGCAACGAGATCAGCAATAACACAGCTTACACCAGCAAGTATAAGGCCAATTTTCAGCACAAATCAAACCACAAAACCCAGGAAGGAATGATAGAAGGGTAACAACAACAAAATGACCAAAACCACACTGATTTTAACCCAAATTTATTTGAAATTGAACTAGGAGCACTTTGAAGACTTCAGCCACTAGAAACCGAGCTAGAAGATGCAAATTAAACACTACAACTTGAAATTCAACCCAAAATCACAATAGAACAGTATTTTTGCTGAGTTTTGCTATATTTTTCTTTTGTTTTTTGGTTTTTTTTTGGAAGAAATTAAGATCTAAGAGAAGTTTTGAACTATAGGACTTTCGGAATTTTTAGATGTGTGAAACTTTTTTTTTGGGAATTTTTCAGATTGTAAAAACTTGTAAATGAAGGCATTAGGCCTGCTTTTTATAGGCAAGGAAGGGGCATGAATGTTCTAGAGGTTTTCGCTCATTTTCCCCCCTTTTTATTTTCAGAAATTGTACATTAATCCCTAAATTTGTGGCTTGTTGCCCAAGTTACTGCATTAAGAATGCAGAAACTGACACTAAGGCCCCCTTCTAGAAGGACCTAGGATACCCTATTTTTATTTTCTACCTATGGAATACCTATACTATCCTCACTTCTATTCTGAAATTACTGAGCCTTAGCAAACCAACACATTTTAGGTGCCCAAACTACCCCTGACCAACCCTAAAATTACTAAACCTAGTATTAAACTATAACCCCCAGCCCCTTTCACCTTATTTAGTAACTATGGTTAATTAAAAACCAAACTATTCATCTATAACCAAAATTCTTTAATCATCAAAATAAACTATCCTTGTTTTAATTTGAATTAACTACTTAATCTATATATCCTACGACTACTGTTTTATTGAACTAAGCAAACTATTCAAACTCGAAATTAAAATCAGATTAACCAAAGCAATTATGGATCATTTAAGTGAAACTAAACACCAAATCCACTATCAGAAAAAAAACAAAACCAAAATTAAAGGAAAAAATTAGCAGAAACAAAAATAAAAAAACCCTAAAATTTCTAAAGCAATTATCATGTCTAAATGATTGATCAATGTTATTCAACTGGGATCAACAAAATACGAACTACACTATTGTAGTCTGAACCCTAAGTAATAATAAAAAATTAAAAGAAACGGACATGGAAGAACAAGAACAAGAAGAAAACAAAAATAAAAGATGAAATACCTCCGGTTTTGGCTCAGACTCGAATCTGATCATGCTTTTTTGGAGCTATTTGGACTAAAACCGTCTTTAATCATGTGTTTTCAATGAGAAAACACACAATTAAAGGCAGTTGTAGTGCCAAATCAAAGAAATCCCAACTTTGAAAAGTTAGGGTTCTTGGCCAGACTTCGATCCAAAATTTTAGAAGATGGGGTGATGTTTGAGGGTTATAGGCTATGCATTTATGAAGAAGGAGATGAGGAGGATATATGGTGTAAGTTTGGACTGGTTTGGAGAAAGTAGGGTTTTGGGCCAGAATTTAGATCTAATATTCGAGAAGATTGGCTAGGAATTAAAGGAGATGGTTTTGGGAGTTGGAAAGATGAGAGGAAGGGGAGCTTGTGGTGAAATTTTGGGGTCACTTGGAGCTTCGCCGCCGGCGGAGGCGATTTCCGGCCGGCGGCGGACGGCGGAGGATGGCGGAAACACGGTGGGCGGCGGTGGAGACGGGGGTACGAGGAAGATGGGTGGTTTGTCTCTAAAATTATAGAGAGTTTATTACATTTTTATGTAATTCTCTTGGATGGATCTGGACCGTTTGATCATGGGGAATGGACGGACAGGATTGATCGATGCCAAAACGACATCGTTTTGCAATAGGGGGGAGGGGGGGAACTGGACCGGATTGATGATTTGGGTTGGTCCGGTGGGGATTGGGTTATGGGTTGATTGGGCTTGTGTCTTTGCAATGAAACAATGGCCCAAATTGGCCAGCCCTTGCATTTGTTCATTTTCTTCTTTTCTCTTCTTTTGTATTTTTTTTTGTATTTTACTTATTTATATATATTATTTTTTGAATTTTCTGATTTTATTGAATGCAAGATATAAAAATAAAAGACCCAAATTGACTCTAAAATTAACTAATTAAAATTCCAAAATTAACTAGTTTCTAATTTAAAAGAAAACTTAAGACAAATTCTAAAAAATGCAAATAACCAATTTTGTTATTTTCTTTATTTTTTTTGTAATATTAAAATGCCTACTATTTTGTATTTTTGGAATTATATCAAGTAAAATGCACATAAAATGCGAACAAACAAAAAATCATGCAATTTATTCCTAAAAATTCAAATAATAAAGAAAAAATCCTAATTCTAAGGAATTTTGTAGGAGTAGTTTAAGCGTGGCAAAAATCACGTGCTCACAGCTGCCCCTCTTTACTCGAAGACACGAAGGGTTTTCGGGCAAAGATAAATAAGCACCATGAAGGATTTTTGCCTGCTCAGCACTCCAGGAGAAGCATTTTGAAAACCGTCTGACCGAACCCTGCTTCAAAGGTTGCCTACATATCCTTGGCTATAAAGGAATTAGGTCAGTGTAGTTCTGGAAGGTCTGGTAGCTGGGACTACCAGGAGCTGTGATTTCACTGCTGTTGCTGCTGCTACTGCTTGCTGACCTCCTTATTACACCAAAAGAAAAATCAAACTAAGCTAGCTATGCCTATAAACTATGAGTTACAAGATTCCTATCTATAATTCTCTTGAAACTTGATCTTGAGTCTTAGCTGATTTTGCTGTGGACTCCGATCTAAATCTTGATGCTCGCAAGCTGTAGGTGTTTACTTCTTTCCGCAGCATTGTGTCAAAACGGGATCAGCGGAGCTTGTGACTTCAATCAGACTTTGAGCAATCCGCACCCTTGTTTGCTTCACATTTGATTCCATTTCTTTTTGTTCTTTTCTTTATTCTGGATTGAGACTCATTCCATCAGCTACCTCGGATCCTATGCCTTGAGGTCAAACCTGCTCAGACACCAAAACAAACAAACGAACGAAATTTTTCTGCCCCAGTTTTCACTAGGAAAATTTCGTGAGTTAGTTGTGACACATATCTAAGCGATCAAACCAGGATTTTGTATCCTTGTGAATGAATCCAGGTTATGCTGGAAACGACCGGGTTATGCCGGAAAAGAAAAGGGGTCCTCGGGTTATGCCGGGACGGAAAGAAAAAAGGCTCCTAGGGTTATGCCAGGGAGATCCATGGGTTATGCCGGGATTAAGAGAAAAAGGCTAAAGGGAAAAACGCTCAACTCAGGGATTAGAGTCCTAATGTTGGCTAAAAGGGAAAAACGCTCAACTCAGGGGTTGGAGCCCTAATGTTGGCTAAAAGGAAAAATGCTCAACTCAGGGGTTGGAGCCCTAATGTTGGCTAAAGGGGAAAACGCTCAACTCAGGGGTTGGAGCCCTAATGTTGGCTAAAAGGAAAAACACTCAACTCAGGGGTTGGAGCCCTAATGTTGGCTGAAGGAAAAAACTCTCAACTCAGGGGTTGGAGCCCTAATGTTGGCTAAAGGAAAGACGCTCAACTCAGGGGTTGGAGCCCTAATGTTGGC